GCGCGACGGCGTCGTGCTCCTGCAGCAAGCGCACAACGGCGGCAACGCGGCACGACTGCTGCATCTGCTGCTGCTCGAAGGCTGCACGAGCAGCGGCCGCATGCAGAAGACATGGCCCTTTTCCCATGACTTTGGAGCTTCAGGGCACCGGAGATGCTCGGGGAAGGTTTTGCTTTGTATACAGGATCACACTAGTTAAGGACACTCTGACTGCTTGTGGCTGTGCCATGTGAAGATGGACCAGATCTTGCCTTGCCAATGGCTTGTCCAAGCAGTTATTACAAATGGCTTGGAGAAGAAGTCTTGGGGAGTCTCAGCTTCACTTATGTGGCTCTTAACTGGTGTTGTCTTCTTGTCCTTTGCCGCAAGAACAAAGCTAGCTGCTGTCTACAACAACCCCGCGATAGGTCTGAGCTGAAATCAGCAATGCTGGAGGGAATAAAGATAATAAAGGAAAGCAAGAGGAAGTCAGTGTTAAGAGTAGGGATTCTGAAGCTAATGTATTCGTGGTATTTAAAAAATATCAACTAATGACCTTCACCTGAAATTCTAGCAGAACCAATTTTTAAAAACAAGCTGAGTGCAGGATAATAAACAGAGTTCACAATCCTGCCCCGCTGTAACCTTCACCCTGCCATTCTCCCTTCTCCACCCCTGACACTCACTGTTGTCTCTAATTAAAATGCCAAAGTCCTTGGGTGGAGGCCCACCAATTACACCCTTCTCCGAGTGCCATACGCATGCAGCGCTTCCATGGCACCACACAAACAGACAACAAGGACTGCAATGGCACTCCCATGTGCTCTGCAGCACTTGCTTGGCTTTGGGCACTGGAAGGGAGAGCACAGCAAAGCCTGGCCTGGAAAAGATCTGTGAGGAAACACAAGGAGCTAGGGAGACAAACATAAGCATTGTCATTTATTTCTGGCACTGTGTGCTATAATAACCTAAAGCATCTTAATTGCAGTCATCTTTTAATTTTACTCCTGTGGGTCATGCGGCACGTCCGGAATGCTGCCCGCTTTTCATACTGTGCAAAAACCTCAACAAAATGAGCCTTTTCCACGCATTGTGCATTTGTTTTATTTGGCAAAGCTCTTTGAAACCAGGTTACAACGAAGAACGGGTTGAGGCTGCGGCTTTGCACACAGCCAGCCAAGCTCTGGCAGAGGCGTGAAGTTTTGACTCTATCAAAAACATCCACTGCTCAAAATGTTCAAATCATAGAAGGCCCAGCCGGTGGGAGTGTGTCTCTAAAGCAGCAAGTTCCCAGCAGGTGGACGTTATTGTAGCAACACTCCCTGTGCATTCACTATGAATTGAACTGCACCCCTTACCTCACGTTTATGAGGCAGCCAAGCTCTGGCAGAGGCGTGAAGTTTTGACTCTATCAAAAACATCCACTGCTCAAAATGTTCAAATCATAGAAGGCCCAGCCGGTGGGAGTGTGTCTCTAAAGCAGCAAGTTCCCAGCAGGTGGACGTTATTGTAGCAACACTCCCTGTGCATTCACTATGAATTGAACTGCACCCCTTACCTCACGTTTATGAGGAATCACCTCAGTAACCGCGGGCTAGCACCGCTGCGGA